ACAGAATTGATGAGGGCCGTTACCACTTAGTTAGTCCTCTAGAATCCCAAGTAAAAATCTCGGGCAACTTTGAAAATCAGTTACAGAAGCTATTGTAAGTGTGACAACATTCCTCACCATTTAAGAACATCCTAATTCTTGATTTAGATGTTGCAATTGTAAGCTTTCTGTTGAAACTGGCACATGTGACAATATCATTTATTGTGAAAGAATTTTATTTCATGGGGCGTAAAGGTTATTTTGACGTTGAAGATGAATTGCACTTCTTGGATGTCTGTGATTCCTAATCTGAATTCAGGAGAATTTAATTGTAAAATATGTAAATTAATAATAATATTTATTGCATATATGATAGCATCAGAAATGTCTATTCATATATCATGTGAATAGAAAAAAAAACATACACCCAATTGTACATTTGATATAAAAAACGCATGCATGATCATGCTTTTTTATGTATTTTGGGCCGGAGGCCGTTTACTGCACAAAACTGTCTGTCTGTAGTGTGAAAGTGCAAATGTGCTTAAGGGTGCTATGTTACATGGTCTTCACAAGAACCTGATTTTGTGGGGCCGTTGTTAGGAAAGAGATAGAAAAGTTGATTAAGAAGAGACTTATGTGTGTTTACTGTAAATATATAATTATACATTAATGCCAATATATAATTTTTATATATTAATTACATCAGTCCACTTTCGAATATGGCGTCAATTGTTATCAGGAAGCCTACTCATCACATTTTCCGACCTATCCACTTAGTTTTAAGTGGAGACGAATCGGAAATATGTCATGGCCTTTTTTCATTACAATTTTATAAATGTTGGTTTCAGATTGTATTGTTCGTGACGATGACTAGCATTTTTGACTTCCCTATACCCTGTTTGTCTAATACCAAGTGCGGTAGCTTCCATCCGCGTGATGACTGGTGTATTTAACACCGCAGTCAGTAATATCCCAGCTATATGACGGTGGTCTGTACAAAATCGATTCTGAACCAGACAATTTCAGTGAATGACATCATGAGCATCGATCCACGCAATATAAACTAATATTACCTGTTTATTATATCGCCTATGGTGTGCTTTGTGTACATAGTTACATACATAACACTGGCTGGCGGTCGCGTTGGAAGAGAACTGCCGTGTGACATGTTTCAGAAACTGTTTGAAATGTGCACCCAGAAGAAGTGTCACCATCCATTCTGTATTTCACATATCCCGAACTTCCATTTGTCTTTTAGAAATATTTACATATCACGTTGTTTTAATAGATAGGATACCACAAAAAACTGCTGACAACTTGGTACAAGAACAGTGCGTGTGTAAGTTTCTCTGGGTTGTCGCACGTACTGGGTCGCATGGAATGTTTGTTTGTTTGTTTAACGCCGCAATATTTCAGCTATATGACGTTGGTCTGTAAATAGTCGAGTCTAGACTATACAATCCAGTAATAGATACCATGAACATCGATCTACACAACTGGAATACGATGACATGCATCAACCAAGTCCGCGAGCCTGACCACCCGATCCCGTTAGTCGCCTCTTACCACAAGCATAGTCGCTTTTTTACGGCAAGCATTAGTTTCTGAAGACCTATTCTACCCCGGATCTTAACGGGTCTTGTGCTACAAGTGATCATGCGGGATTTGCATAATTGACACTGAATATGTTTTCTAACCAATATAATATCAATATATTGAAACTTGTTCATGATATACACTGAAATACAGTATAATGGGTATTTGTTTGCTGTTCAACACTGCAGTTTAAACAGTTGGGTGACGGCGGCCTGTAAATGATGTTTGGACCACACAAACCAGTGAATCATGGTATAAGCAACGCCCCGTTGGGTACGATGACAAACAATTAATCAATTACCGAGTCTGACCCCCCAAACCATTAAGATGCTTCTTACGACCAGCAACGATTCCTAGAACCTATTCTAAGTCAGAATCCCTACTGAATATACCACAAGTCATCAGTTTGGCGTGTTAAGTCTTCTAGCCAGGCAATCAAGTCGCCTCTAAGACAAGCAAATCTTGGATGGACCATTCTAGCCCGGAATCCTCATCATGGGGCTAAACGTTTCAGTGAATGGGTATCGCATCCATATCTGTGTGGGGGGCATTGCAAGTAAGGGAGTTCCGGGTTTAATGTCGCTTTGAACAATAGTGGAGTTTTATCACGTCGTGCCATCTTGATGGGTACAAACCATTTTGGTGAAATCCCCGAACACGGCATGGTGTCGGAGAAACAAGGGTCTAGCGAGCCATCGATCATAGGTTTCTGGCACGCATAAGGGAGACAACTGTGCACAGGGAAATGCAGCGCCTCAGACGAGTGGGTCACCCTTGCCCCCTACATTGAGATTGGCATCCTCAAGGCATCGAACAAGGAATAAGTGAACACACAGCTATGCCACACATCTACATTTCTACACAGAAACGTGGTTTGGCGTATATATATTTGTGTCACAGTCTAAATATATTCTCTTATCTTCGTAGATGATACTTATATCCCCGTAGATACGTTTTTAGACTTTGGTACAAATACGCTTCCATACGTATATGAATATAGCATCGTGCATATCGATTTGGATTAAACCGAGCTTCCTTAAAGTAAACTGGTAGAGCTATAGAAGCTGTGCTCATCCAAGTGCTGGATCGGTATGCGGACGTTACTTTAAGCATGCGTGTTTCCATTATCTGCACATGTACACTTGCATGCCTCGACGTCTTACCAGGATGTTCTCGCCTTCATCAACTTCCTATGTATACATATAAATAGTATTCCCCTAATTCTACAAGACTTATATGTACTGTGGGTATTTATTCTCAAATGACTGTGATTTTGTGTACAGCGCCATAAAAAATATTAATCAATAACCAAAGACAGGAATATGATTAATGGCTTTCGTTCATTATAAGCATATGAACTGCCATGCAAAAGAAAGTATACACTTAAAAATTGTATTTTGCCAAAAAATAACAAACGTTATCAAAAAGCTACTACATTCCCAAACACAACTATGACACTCGTCTCAAATACATTAACCTCGAATAACCATTTCTTGTTTGTTTCATTTTTAGCCAACATCAATCATGGATGTATACTTTCTTTTGCCCGGCAGTTTATGTATTGGGATATAATTTTGATACAACGTAATGGGCTTGATTGAAAGAGACCTAATGCTCCTTATTATTTATTTCAGATTATTTTTATCACGTACACTACAACCTGAAACTTACTGCAGGGAAACATTAGCGCAAATACAATTCCATCGTTATAGGTAGGTTTCAACACTTATATTAAAACAAGTTTAACCTATTCCTTGGGAGTAAGTAACCACACATATATTAGGCATGCAGTAATAGTCTGTGAAATGTACGAGTACATACCCTGTCTGTGCGGACCATGCAGCCTCTCTGTATACAGATGGACTTTACACAGATCGCCCAAACCCACACTTCCCTTGTCAAAAATCAATTTTATCAGATGCAGACGTGCACTCATCGGCGTGCCTCGACCTGGCTTCAAAGATGCACATCTATGCAAACACTGGCAGTCAGCCGACTGCATGGAGAGGTGTGGGGTGACGCTTGTCGACAAACGTTATTACCGTAACTACCTTAATAATAAACACACTCTAGGAGAAGTGGAGGGCGACGCTTGTCGACAAACGTTATTACCGTAACTACCTTAATAAATAGCCCACTGAAGGAGGGGGTGGAAGGTAACACTTGCCTACAAACGTTATTACCGTAACTACCTTAATAAACGGACCACTGTAACAGAGTTTGAGGGTGACGCTTGTAGACAAACATTCTTACCGTAATCGCCCTAATAAATAACCCACTTTAGGAGAGGTGTTGGGCGACGCAAGTCGACAAACGTCATTACCATAACTTATTCATTGAATAATTCTTTTAAGATATGTACGGTAATCACGAGTTGAATGAGTCAGTATATAAGCATATCTTTAGTCATACTTCATTATCGTAAACAGTTTTGCTATAATAACTACGGTATCTCCTGGTTGAGTGAATCTCCGCCTCTCTCTCAAGTTACCAACACATTGAGAAGTGCTGGCCTTGTATCAATCATTATTTCCTATGAGGATAACTTTGTTGGATTTAATTTCACGCAGACAGCATGTGATGCGTTGTAAGGGTGTTTTCGCTACTAGTTACACAATATCCCTACCTTCCTCAACATACAGGTGCTACATTCCAGCTCAATCCAGAGGATCACAAAAACAGTGCGCAAGGTGCCAAATTTCCCAAACAGATTTTAAACCCCAGCGCAGCATGTGGTTCCTATACAAATTTAATGCCTAAAAACTTGAACAGAACATTTGCAAATCTACTTAACCTTAATGCGGGTTCTTTCTCTCACTTGGTCCTAGACTTTGTTTAATTCCCGTTTCAGAAAACCTTATTAAAGCCTGTCAAGGTTGATCGCGACAAAATCCACGAATGCATAACCTATGGTAATGATTCTATTTGAAAGCAGTAATTTGCAATTGTGCGAGCACAACCTTGATAAATACCAACATCGTTGAACATAATATATAGTTTGCTACAACAACCAGCGTTGTGGGAGAGGAAGCAGGAAAATGTCCTGGTTTTCTACTGCGTTGTTGGTCTTCATGCATAATTCATACAACAGAAATGAAATGGACGCTTTATATGGACTCTAATTGACATTCAAATTAGGTCAATCTAAACTTCAAGGGCTTCTCCACTACATAATTACATTGAGGTATTCCATATGGTTATTAGACTTTGCAATGGAACGCACTGTGGTATCTCAACGGCAACATCTCTCATAACATAACATAATCAATATTTACAAGATGCATTTGAATAACAATCATATTTTTAAATCATTACAACAAAATGCGAATATAAATATTGTATAGAGACAAGGATATGTACATAAATGAAGCTGGTGAGATATCTTGCATGCAGCCCGAGCAGACGATATGGAAGTTACGTACCTGAGACCGACACATAACTGTTATCACGAGGAGCGTGACAGTGCTGGCATTTCGGAGACAGACAAAACATAACATCAGAAACGACATCTGGAACCATTCTTTTCCGAACATTCTACGTCCAATGGCGGTCACGGAGTCTCCATTTCTCCAGAACAAAACACGGCCAATGGCGATTATTTACAAAACAAAACCAGCTGACGCAGCCGCACGTGCGAAGCAGACGACCGACGGGGTTTGCAGCAGAAGATACATCGCTATCAAAACATTTCGACAAGAAAGAGAAAGAAGTTCATTTGGAGCAAATTGATTCAGGGTTTTCTTGCCAACCACGATGCTTGAAGAAGTTGGAGGGGTTAACTATAAATAGAGTCAGTCGGTCGGCAGTCAAGTCGTGTTTCCAGGCTGGCGGGGGAGAAGGGATCACACTTATAACTTTCTCATTTAACACTCAGCTGTGAAAGAAGCGAGGATGAGAGTTCAGTCCAACTTTTCCGAACAGATGGTTATTTTTAGGCGTTCATCGCTGATGGGAAACAGGTGATTTTAACCGGCGTTTGAACCATCCTCTCGGCAGTTTCCGCACTGTCTCGGACAACACCGGAAATTGGTGAATTCTGCGTGAAATGGTCCTATTTGTTAATTTCTTCAAAGCACGAGACAGAAAATCGAAACGTGATGTGTGAAGAAGTTATATTCGTCGACATGGTACAGCAGAGTAGACGTAAAAAATCTTGTGTCGTTCAAGACCAGACCTGAACATATCAGACTGTCATTTAACCTGATTTGAATGTTATTGCTCAGCATCTATCGATGTAAATGCAATTTCTCCATCGTATTGAAAGACTGATGTATGAAAATTGAATCAGTTTCTTAAATTGGTATGCTCTTTACATGCCCCTTCTTTAAGTAAAGATTGGTCTATAAACCAATTATGGCAGCGTGCCTAGACTGAATAAAACATCAATACCACGTGACCACTGAACACGCGAAATGCATGCAAGGGTTACATATTGTTACCAGCACAATGTTTCATGCAGACAATCTTAAATATGAGATGCCGCTGTACTGTTTATTTTTAAATATTTGAAATATTTATTAAAAGATGATATAAATAAAAAAATAAAAAAATAAAATTATACTAAAACAAAGATTGATCCTACTTCAATTTCCCGATATTTCTGAGAGATATTTGGCGTATGGGTATAATTGTCCAAATGACACATTTGTCTTGGGATAAACCTGCTATTTGGCAATGAAAGCCAAATGATCTGTTTATTATGTAGTTTCTAACCGATCCTATTCTGAAAACCAAATAACTAGAGCAGACAGGAAATAGTTCCTGCATTGTAGTATTTTACTCTTTTAAAATATCGACTTATATTGTTACATATATTTAGCTTTGCATCATTATGTTTTTTATAGTGAACGTTAAATGTTGAATAGAAGATGTCGGAAACAACGTACTGACTAATAATATTGTTTACTTTGTACCCAAACGGGGATCTGTCATAATTCATGATGGAAATATATAAATCAATTTAATTATATCAGTCAAGACCTTTTCTGATATTTTGGATCGATTTAATAACAAAATATATTTGACATTTACTTATATCAATGATTTCATTTTAATGATGAGTCGACCAGTCCTTGTGTTAGCCCCTTACTGCCGAGCGCCAGGCAGGTGACAGTGCCATCTTTTAACGTCATTTGGCATGACGCGACCGGAGATCGACCCATACATCGACATTCCGCGTTCCGAGAAGACACCCTATCCGCTAGACTACGGAGGCGGTCCAAGTATAAAGCTAGCAAACCAATTTCTAAAATCTATTAGTGATAAGTTATAGGTTATAGCTTTCTAAAAATAGACATTCCTGTTGTGCAAACGGATATGCGGAGGGTTTTGATCGGTAGACAGTTTACAGTGACGTCATGCAATATCACTACACGATATCTGAGAGAAGTTAAAGAACATCCGAATTTTTCCTATGACTATAGTCACATGTGCCCGAGATATGCATACTACTCAAAAGAAGTTAAAGAACACTCGATATTTTCATATGACAAAGGTATAGACTTTAGTCATGTGAAGAAATTCGGGTGTTCTGTAACTTCTTTTGAGCAGTATGTAAGAAACGGATTAACCCGAGTGGATCCGAATGTCTAATGAAACGATACTTTCCTCGCCACTATTCAGCAATATTCGTATGAGTACAGATCCACGGTATATTAGTGTAATTTGAATTTGAACAAATAAAAACCAATTCAAACAATCAGTTGCTTACCTGTAGATCTATCCAACACCACGGTGCGGAGGTATATTAATCACGACCGTTACTCCAGCCACCTTATACAGACACAAAGGGGGTACTATGGAGGCCCGTCACTCCCGTGACCGGGGAACTGCAGCTATGTATGGGCTAGGCTATATAGGAGTTGATAAGCAAACTATTAATTATTCAACCAAAGACGTGTATAGAATATACGTCCGTGTGTCAACATATATTACAACGTTCTATTTGTAAAGTGTCTAAACTGAATAGGGAAGTACGTTTGTGTAACGTGACGCCTGCTTAATCTGGTGATACAACTGGGCCAGTGAGATAACAGAAAATGTTGTTTTCAAAATATGGAATTTATTAGTCGTTATCACTAAATTGTCACAAAATATTTTTACAGATACCCACAATATAACACCCTTTAACGGTGAACATCGTGATCAACAACAGCATAACCTGCCAGGGAAAGAAAGTATACACTTGAAATTCGGATTTCAACAAAGAATACACACATTATCAAATCGTTACTAGGCCGGGACAAAGACTGCAAACTTGAGGTCCAAAACGCAAGTTATGATATCCGTATCAAATACTAGTACATCATTTCTTGTTCGTTTCTTTTTTCAAACATGAGTGTATACCTTATTCTGCTCGGCAGGGGGGCACGGGTGGCCCAGTCGTCCAAGGCGCCGCGGTTCGCTGTGCAGAGTTGCGTCCCTTGGGCACGCCAGAAACCTATGATTGTGGGTTCGAATCCCGGTTCGCCCCAATTATGTTTCTAGGTTTGTCAGCACCATACCCGTGCTCGTGGGTTTCACCGAAGTGGTAAACGTCTGAAACCTGCATCACTTCGGGCTTTCCTCCCACATTAAGCTGACACGCCGCGATATGACTGGAATACTGTCAAAAGCGGCGTTAACCCAACTCACTCACTGCTCGGCAGTTTATTTGAGTCAAGTGAACTAAAACGACGGCTTTTCCGTGGTCACAGTTATCTCCCTTCGGCCACACACTGGTGCAGACACAGTAGAAGAAGAGGGCTGGAGCGGCATTGATTTAAATAACCAACTTCCTTGTCCGCGAGTTATTTTGCGATTGGCATGTAAATGTACCTCTTTGGTTTGTTCATTGTGTTTTGTTTGATTTCTGTAATCACGTTACACGACCCCCAGCAGCAGCGATGATGTGTAAGTGAATGATGGTTACGGTTGAACGCCAATATTCCCGCTATATCACAGCGGCCTGCAAATATCGCACCTGGGGCATACAAGCCGGTGATTGATAGTATGAACAACTTCCTATGCAACCAAGGGTGTTGTGATGCTGCTGAACATAATAGTTTGTTCATCAGTGATGCTCTGAACCTTTATAATGCCATGATACTTGCACTACTACAATAACAGGGATAGTTCAAATACTTTCTTTTTTCTAACGCATTTGTTCGCGAGACCTGCGATAGATATTTGGCGACTGCAAAAACTCACGGACTTGATAAATTCAAGTAGTATCACTCAGTAGTACAGCGGGTTTTCAGATGCATGTATGCTTTTTCTTTGAATCTCTGGTGTTTTGTGAAAAAAGTGGCGTCTATCAGGGGTAGATCGTCCGTCTAGGAGCTGGATATACGTTGCCGGGTACAGTTCCACGGTCTACCGACGCACCATTCGAATGACCAGATGGAGCCAAAAATAGTACCGTTCGTACATGCTGTTATTAAAAACTGTTTACTATAGGTGTTGTCTTCTTAAACGGGTGATCTATTCACGGATGAGCAAAACAAACTGTAGTGCTTAACTAATAGAGCGTCGTGTTTACGTGGACATGATATGACCTTTACATGACCTTACAAAGTGAGTGAGTGAGTTGGGTTTAACGCCGCTTTTAAAAGTATTCCAGTTACATCACGGCGCGTCAGCTAACTGTGGGTGGGAAGCCCGAAGTGATGCAGGCATCAGACGTTTACCACTTTAGTGAAACACACGAGTACGGGTATGGTGCTGACAAATCTTGCAAACATACCCAAGGGAGGGTATAGTTTCAGACAGGACATATATTTTGGTCACTGCTTTAAAACAGTCATTTTAATCTGTGGAAGGCCCGGTCGAACAAATTCAAAAGTTTTCACGACAATTTGTTTCCAGGACACCCAACGTATCCAGCGAAAAATAAACGTTAGGTGTGTCAAAACTGAGGACCAATTACAACTTACGGGTGGCCCAGCCGTCGAAGGCACCGCAGTTCGCTTTGCCGAGACGCGTCCCTTGGGCACGCCACAAACCTATATCTTAAACTATATTTTAACACTCAGACATTTATTGAATTGTCGTGTCTCATAGACTAAATCTGGCCGGACACATTTACATGTGTGTGACACTTTTTTAATAAAATATCTTCTTCTTCCTATGACCATGGGTTCGAATCCAGGTTCGCCCCGATTATGTTTCAAGATTTGCCAGCACATACCCGTGCTCGAGGGTGTCATGAAAACGTTAAACGTGTAATACCTGCATCCCTTCGGGCTTTCCTCCCACATGAAGCTGACACACTATCGTATAACAGAAATTCTTATTGTTAGATCTATTACCGCCAATTCTGTTACATTTAGTTTCGTAATTATTACCCTATGCCACCATTGCGTCGTTGCAATATATGTTAATATCAACTAAACAAAGAGCACTTTGTTTATCATGACGTGTTAATAAGTTGGTCTGTGGCCATTGTATGGAGTAACACAGACTACACAATGTCCTGTCTGCCTTCCAGTCGATCACTGGCCGCCAGTTTCCGGCTGTTTTAACCAGCATGATAAGGATACTTCCGTCTTGTCGATATAGGGCTTTCCTACAGACTGTTTCTGCCTTCACGTTCTTGACACAGTTTTAACAAAACCACATCTGATCCTGTTTCTTAAAAGCGGCGCAAAGAATGAGAATAATATTTACTGCACATATAAATCATACTCCTTGGTGGGCCTAACATGTCTTAATTGTGAATATAAGTTGTCGAATAAACACGGATGAAGGAGCACGATATTTCGATATTAGGAACAATTGATTTGTTGTTTGTTGCACAATGCTGAAGTCAGCAATATTTCAGCACTGCGACCTTGAAACTAAAGTGAGGAGCAAAAGTAACTAAACCTCTAAGTTGATTTTATCATATGTTTTGCTGACTTGGAAGTCCTTTGGCTGGAGAGGTGAAAAACACATTTTTCTTAAATATTAAGCGATTTTAGTGCATGATGGCTCTTTGGAAAGCTCTTGA